AGACTTTTATGACTGCATTTCAAACTACAGAAAAAAAAAAAAAAAAAGAGGGAAACACAATTTGGAAACTTTTACACCCACAAAATTAGGCATAATTGGTATGTTCAGATGCTGGGAAACCCAAAGGCAAACTGGAACACAAAATTGAGAACACAAATTCATAACAGAAACATTTACCAGTATTCCTCAGTACAAACTTCTGCCAAAACATCATTTCTTAGAAGAACTTATTCTATCAAATAGCAGTGATATGAGTTGTGCACCTCAATCTTTTCAGCTGTAATTCAGAGAATGTCCTTAATTTTGTAATGTGGAACATAAGCTTGAATGCAGATGAAAATACATGTATTTTATAATCCTGCAATATGCCACTATGGTTCAGAATCTGTGCTATAGACAAGTTAGAAGATCATGACAATGTCATTACAAAATTAGGAAAGAATATGAATTCAAGACTTGCTGGGCAACATAATGCTGTTCCCAAAACTGCAGTTTAAGCACCTCTTTAATTTTTATAAAGTAATGAAAAGTGATGTTTTGGAATAATAACTGTAAAGTTAGAAGTGGTAAAAACATGTAGCAGCCCTATGCAATCTGTGGAGGAAATAATTTTAAAGCCAGATAAACTGGTGGCCTTCCAGCAATTTCAAGTCTCTGTAAACTTGCAGCACGAAACCTTTATGTCAGCTGTAGGCTGTTTCTATAGATAGACTATGCACTTTCCTTTCAAAAATCCCATGCTTTAAATTTAAATTAAAGTTTCAGGAGGCTCAACTAACACAAACAGAGATCAGGTAAAATTTTTCAGAAGGTAATTTCATGATCTTTTAAGATAGAATGACATCAAGCTACTCTGGACACTCACTGCATTAGACTTTCTTACCTGCCAACTATGATTTTAATAATTATCGCTGTAGTTAGGGCTGAAAAGGGGGACAGAAGATCAGCTAGCAAATATAAACTAGCCCCAGCAAGTAAGATCCCTTCTTCAAGCAAGATAAACAATAACTTGGAGTCATCATTCTCTTGGCAGCTGACCATTCTCCTCTTCCTGTAGCCATACCCTGCACCCCATGCACTGACTCATAGACATTAGGTTTTGTGGCTGACTGCACATCCCAGCTTAGGTTGCTGGAAGGGTTGCTTCACAAAGCCACAGCAGTCTGAAGTCTCTGCCCATCAGACATCCTGGCTGGCTCCCTTTCCGCTAACCAGTGTCCATTCACTCGTGACAGCACTTCTGCCAGCTCCAATTTCCTTTTCACATTCCACAATCATTTGAGCTTCACTATAGGAATCCAGTGCCATGCAGACTGGCACAAATCTCTGCTAGGAATCTGCACTGGGAAACATGCCTCTTAAATAGAACTTAATCTTTCCTTTCTTCCTTGGCCATGAATTTCTTCTACACAGAACTCCAAACCATAGTGTTAGGGCAATAATTTATTCTACACATAAATGTGTCATCCTTGTCTTCACAGCATAATTACGGCTTCCATTAATTCCATCCCTGTTACTGCACAACCATCTTTTAGTAGACATTGGCCACCAAAACCCCACTGCTGAAGATCTGCGGCTGATCCCTTAAGACGCCCTTAGCTGATGCAAACCTGCTAGGGTCCATGTGATTCTGCTGCTACTGCTGCTGCAAGGATTTTTATTTTGCTATGCAAGTTTAAAGTGTTGTTTTCTTTTGCTGTATGCCAAAACACTACTTAGAATAGGTGGAGGAAATCAATAGCGCAGCTGAAAAACTGGCAACCATTTTCAGTAAAAGGAGTTTTAATGCTCATTTGAACAAGGAATACAGTACTCCAAAGTCTGAAATAGTAAATTTCAACTGTACATGTAAAGAATCAATGAAACTCATTTCATTCCGATCACAGGACCACTTTATTCATCTTTTTATTCTCCCTAGCAGATGCCAAAAGAGTGCTCAGCCCTTCCAGATTCTATCCTCTTCTTGAGGGAAGAAAGCATTCTTTTCTTTTCCAGGCCATGGGCTATAACACTTAAATCAGGAATTATATGTACTCCTGCTCTCACATCGTGGTGAGCTTAAGTACATTATAGCTTTATTACTTAGCAGCTAACATTGGTATGGAGTGCATCTGTGAATAAAGTCACCTCAGGGAAGAATTTGTTCTTCATCTACTAATATCCAAAATGGTTCTCAGAAAAGCAGTACAGAACAGATCATTTCCGATAAGTGATACTTGGGTAATTTCCAGTGAATGACCCCAAAAAACCAATGTGAAGGAACAAGCACTTAGTCCATTCTGGAGTGGTACTAAACTTAATTGTTGGTCCAAGGTCACTAGATAAACAACATTCACAGTTAACTTCAGTGGTCCTTTTCATGCAGATGATGGAGAACAAGAAAACAAATTTTGACATTAGAACTGCTGTGGATATGAACTACCTTAGGTGTCTGTCCGCCAGCACAGTAAGGGGCTTCTCCAATTATCAGACATTTTAATGAGGAAGCATTACAATAACGGCTTGCTCAGACAGAAAACACTAATATACCACATTCCAGCAACTCTATTATCCAGCTTTGCCTATGTCTCACGCTATTTCAAGTGTTTAAGAGTTTATATTGCAGTTCATCTCCTAGTAGGGAGCTGGAATATATTATTGGCAACCGAGTAAATCAAGTTTACTAATGAGTGTGCATGGTTTCTTTTGTATATATGGTTTTCCTCCACAGACCAATATAACTGTAGTCCTGGGCCTACACTGGGCTCACTTCCCAAAAAACAATGAACTGGCACAACATTTTCAGAGTAACTGCAGTAAAAAATAACAAGCAAAGAGCAAACAAAAGCAATTTCTCCAGAAAACCATGTTTTGCCAATAACCGTTGTTCTAAGCCAGATTTAAACAGCAATTAATAAATATTTATTTTTACATAAGCTGCCTCCAGGCACCAATTTGTCTACAGATTCTAAACATAACTTCTGCCACAATCCCCCCCCTCCTAGTAATACAATTCCATTGCTTTCCCAATGGAAATGTGGGGATGTAGTTCCTCCAGACAAATACAAGCTTCTAATGTGCACTACAGCTGCTAGTTAAAAAGCAAAATACATATTATGTACATTTGCTTAACAAAACTACATTTCTCCTGCATTCTTCTCAAGATATACCAATGTCTCAGTGGCCTACTCAGCTGATACACACACAGTGCTCCTGATGGTAGGCTTGTCTTTGGAGACAGGCAGGACATCTCACACTCCGCAGGGAGTGGCCTCCAAGCCTTCCTGGCCTTTGCACCAGAACAAGGAGGAAGCACCACCTCACTGGGCAATGTCACTCTTTGTTCTCTGCATTGACAGGGTGGCACCTGAGCTTCCTTCAGCTGTGGCCACGCAGGGTGGCTTCATGGCAGCATGGATGCATCGAGTACTGCCTCGAGTTCTGTGTGCATGTTTGTGTGCAGCGGTACTCACAGGACATGAAATATTAGAGAGTGTCCAAAGGAGGGCTTCAAAGATGGAGAAGGGTCTAGAGGGGGAAAGTGTATGAGGAGCAGTTGAGTTCCCTGGGTGTGCTCAGCACAGAGCAGAGGAGCTGAGGGGAGGCCTGATGGCAGCTGCAGCTCCTCACAGGGAGCGGAGGGCAGCGCTGAGCTCTGCTGTGTGTGACAGCGACAGGGCTGAGGGAACGGCATGGAGCTGTGTGAGGGGAGGGCAGCTGGGGGTGAGGGACAGGGGCTGCACCACAGGGCGGTGGGCATGGAATAGGCTGCACAGGGCTGTGGGCACGGCCCCGAGTGCTGGAGTTCAAGAAGCATCTAGACCATGTTCTCAGATACGTGGTCTGATTTTTGGGTGGTGCTGTGTGGAGCTGGGAGTTGGACTTGATGGTCCTCATCCCTTCCACTTTGAGATATTCTGCGATGTCTGGGCGGAGTCAGCTCCAGTGAGTGGAGAAAAGAGATATCTTGCTTTAAGAACAAGTACTGCAAAACACAGAGCAGTCTCATATCAAAAGTTCATATCCAGAGAGCAAGCGTACTGAAGACATAGATCAGTGAGGGCATTGTGTGTTTTTGCTTCTTTATTAAAACATGCTACTTGGCAGATGCTTTCTACCTACCAACTTATTTCTCTACACCCAGCCCCTGGAAGATCACACTTTTATGTGGTGACAAACACCTTTTGTTTGCTGCAACATGAATTCAAGGAAACTTCTTTCTTTAAAATAATCATTACATTCAGGATGGGCAGATTCATCTTTGTATTCCTTAATCAGAAGCATAATGAGTTGCTTACTGTACAAATGATCCCACAGACTGACCAGAGAGCCTCCCAGCGTCGCCCTCAAGACGCAGGAGAGGTTTCCTAAATATGTTTCAAAGTCAGAATCATAGTCACAGAATTGTCTGAGTCAGAAGGGACCTTTAAAGGTCACCCGGTCCAACAACCAATAGGGACACCTACAACTCCACACTGGGATGGCGAAGCCAGGAGACTACTTCGCAGAGACTGACCTGCCGTTCCGCGCCCAGTAGCCCGCGTGCCCGCCTCCCCGCACGCCGCTGAAGGCAGCACAGCCTCAACCCGCCCACGCCCCAGCCGCACTGATTCCGGGAGTGTCCTCATGCCGCGCTGTAAGCCGGCGGCGAAGCGGGGCGGGGCTAACATAGAAGGGATGCGCGGCTAACACGTAAGGGGCGTGGCTATCAACTACGCAGGGGTAACCGCCAGGGGGCGGCGGGGTTGAGGGGCCGCTGAGGCCCCGCTTCGATCTTCGCTCACAGCCGACTTCCGCGGTGACGTCATAAAAAATCGCCGCCGCCAGCCCGCCTCTTCTCCTCGCGGCGCTGCCAGGCCTCGCGGCCACCTGCGGGCGGCGCCCCATCTCCCAGGTGCTCACTCCTCCTTCCGCTCCCCGTGGGCGTGGCCTAGGCCGCCCTCGCCAGGGGGCGGGGCTACGCATGCGCCCGGCCGTCGCGGGAGCCGCCGCGAGCGTATGTGCGCGCGCGGCGGCGGCGGCAGGGTGGGCAGCGCGCGGGAGCTGGGCTGGCGGCGGTTCTGCTGCTCTGGCTGCCGCCATGTCCGCCGTCATCGAGCGGGAGTTCCAAGAGATCGACGCCACGAACGAGTGGCAGGCACGCTATCTGGTGAGCGGAGAAGGGGTTCGATCGCCCGACGGGGAGAGGGCCGCGGTCCGCCGGCGCCCGTCGCCGTTATGCGGAGGCTCGGCGGAGCGGAAGTTGTAGGGGCGCGAGTCGCTCTCCGGCGCACGCAGCCAAACTGCGGGCGGGCGGCGCGCATGCTCCCGGGCCTCGCTTGGCTTTTCCTTTTCCCTTCCCTTGCGGGGAGGGGTGCGAATGGGGCAGCACGCAAGCGTCGCCGTGGGGCCGTTGCCGCCGCGCCTGCGCGCCGGCCGGCAGCGTGCGTGCGAGGAGCGCCTGCGCATGTGCGGCGAGTGAGGAGCGGGGCTTGGGCTGAGGCGGGCGGGCTGCCCCGGCCCAGCTGTGTGTTACAGCCGACCTTCCCCGGGCTGAGCCGGTCCGGGCCTCTCGCTGCGGGCAGCGCCTGTAAGGTGCTTATAGATAGTACTCGAGCTAGGGTGCGTGCTACGTTGCTCTCCCAAATGAGGAGAAGTATTGCGCAGCAAATTTCAGTTTCCTGAACTCAAGCAGGATTTTTCTCCTCAGTTAAATTATTACAGAATCACGGAGTGGTTTGAATTGAAAGGAAGCTTGAAGCCCACCCACCCCACCCTGTGCTGTGGGCAGGGCTGCCACCCAGCAGCTCAGCTGCCCAGGGCCCATCCAACCTGGCCTTGAGCGCCTCCAGGGATGGGGCACCACAGCTTCTCAGGGCAGCTGTGCCAGCGCCTCACTGCCCTCTGAGCCGAGAGCTTCCTTATAACATGTAACCTAACTCTCATCTTTTATTTTAAAGCCATTCCTCTGTGTCCTGTTACTATCAGGCCATGTAGTAAGTTGGTCCCCTGCTGTTTATGATATCCCTTTAAATAGTGGAAGGCCTCAGTGAGGTCTCCCTGGCGCCTTCTCCAGGCTGAACAAGCACAACTCCCTCAGCCTTTCTCCATAGGGGAGGTATTCCAGCCCTCTCAGCGTCTTCATGGCCGTCCTCTGGACCCATTCCAATATACTGACTTCTTATTTAGGAAGGTATTTAGCTATGACTGCGTTGTATAGGACACATGCTTGCTGTGAGAGGCATATGTTTCCTGAAGAAAAAACCCAGCTGAATATTAGGGTTTTCTTAATTCTTCTTGCTGAAACCTTTGTCCTTCAGTTCCAAGAATCTTCCTAGGCTTGTGGTAGAAGCTTGGAATATTTATGAAATTGTAAGTCTATTTCTGAGCACAGAAAATGCCTGTGCTTTTTAAAACAAAATGCTTCCTGTTAAAGGATGATGATGATGATGATGATAATTAAAAAGAACCTACATTTGAGGGAATTTGTCTGTGAATGCTTGCCGTTTAATTGTTGAGCGTGGAGGTATTCCAAAAGCCTGTAAGGCATTTAAGCTAGAAGAGAATACAAGTTCCATTGTTCTGTACCAAAATCAAAATCTGGTTGTGTAACAGATTGAGTGATTTATGTGGAGGTATGTAGAGCACTGATGGTTGGACACTTGCTGCTCCATATTGTAGCTGTTGTTTTTCACAGATTATCATTGCACGTAAGTCACAGCATAAGGCAGACATTAAAAAAATGAAGCTTCTTTACATCTGTTAGATTTCCAAAGTCCTGTTTCATTGTGTTCCTGGTATGAGAGTATCTCAACTGATTAATAAGCTTGCAAAGATGATTGTTTAAGCTGGAGGACAGAGAACTCCTATAGGAATTTAATCTGAAAAAAAAACCCACCAAAATATTTTTAATTTCATATCACTGCGTGTCAGCTGAGTACAGGGATATGAAGACACCAGTCAGTCCGTAAGAGGCTGTTTGTCAATAGCGTGCTGTCTGTGTTTCTGTGTTTTCACACTTACAAATCTGCTTCTTAGTTTGAAGGTGAAGTTGTGGAAAAAGACATTCTCATTAGAATCAAGAAGCTTTAGAAACACAGAAAAACCTTCCCCATTTACAATATGTAAGCAGTATTACTTCTTTAAAATGATGTGTAAATGAGTGTGTTTAAATATCTTCCAAATGCAGATTATCAAAGGGTTTGTGTTAATGCCTGAGTAGAAGCTGGCTGTGATTTCTGTATTGATACAAGCTCACATTCGAGAGTAGAGATGTTCTCTCTTACAGGCTCATGTTTAACGATGGCTGTTCAAGATGAACTGTTGAAAGACCTGTAATAATTTTGTGGCTATTAATGATGTTATGGCTGCAGCTAACTAGTTCAGTTTTCTTTGTGGTGCTTACGTTGCCAGCTGTACTCTTAGTTCAGACTTGTACTTTTTCTGGGAAATAGCTTGCAAATCTCAGTTCAACAGTAAGCATGAGAATTACCTTCCCTTCCCCCCCCACCCCCTCTCTTTTGTTTCTGCTTTGTCAGTTACTTACCAAATTGTGCATACGTTGACCAAGTGTAAAAAGATCTAAATGACAGCAGTATGGCTAAGAATGGCTTGTGTTTTCTGGGTGAAAGTAGCATTAGCTGTAGTAAAAGTTGGTTTAAAAGTCAATAATGGTATTAATAACTGCAGTTAAATAACTGAGCTTGAAAGCCTTGTGATAGGTTGTATAGAATATCAGCCTTAGTGTGCTTGGTGGCTAGAAATAAACTGTATTTTTGTCTTTTAAAGGAAATTCGGCATAAATCCAGTGACTACCCTCATAGAGTTGCAAAATACCCAGAAAACAGAAATCGAAACAGATACAGAGATGTTAGTCCATGTAAGTATCTTTTCAGTATTTACAGCAGTACATTTTCCAGTTTATTTGCTACCGAAGCATGTGAAATATCTTTTTCAACAGTGTTTTCTTCAGAAACTTTAATCCAGTATCCTTATGAAAATACGCATGAGCAAAAAATGAGTGATAGATAATTATAGCTAGAGAAAGCTACTGTATATCACTTTCAGAAGGACTAGGGGAAAAAATGAAAACAGATTTAACCTCTTTCAACTTCAGTTTTTTATAGAAAACTTCAATGTTTGCGTGTCTTTTTGTACTATGTTTCCCAGAGCAGCAAAATCTCTCATAATCCCATTGTTCTTGGATCTAGAATTTTTGAAGAGTAGTTGATTCATTAGGGCTTTTTGTTTGAGTGCTTGACGTGAGTACCTATTGTATATTTTGGAGAAGTGCTGAAGTCCTTGTTTCCAGTTGAAAGCTGTGGTAACAGCATGTGTATAGCACTTCTCAAAACTATGCACAGAGTCTCGAAGTGAGTCATGCTGTTCAGATAGCAGTGCTCATGCTGATTGTTAGGCAGTTGCCAGACAAGGCCATTACTTGTATGGTGTATTCCTGTCAAATGGGTCCACTCTGGCTTAATGCTGAGTCTAAATACTGTGCCATCGTGAAATGAGAGTTCAGCACAGACCCTCCTTGCTGTGTCTGTGTGGCATTTCCCATCACCATCCTATCTGAGAAATGTGCAGCTCTGAAGATGATACCTCAGGTTAGTTGAGGCTTACTGGCTCCTGCTGTGTGTCCAGCAGAATGTGCTCAGGACCTGAGTGCCCTGATAGACCTTAGTTAACCTATGTTGGTCAGTGTGAGACCTCATGTCTCAGGCTAACTGTCCTGTTAGAGCACGGTGTTGGCTTCTTACCTGTGATAAAGCAGGTCGCATTTCATTCACTTTCTGTTTCATACCTAAATTGAGGCAGATTTTGAGAAGGCAGGAAATTGGTTTTGAACCCCTGAGACCCAAAGTCTATTCCTGTGTCTGTCATCTGCAGCTTTTGTAACAGAAGTTGTGCTCACTTTTTTTTTGTCCTTTCCCACATCTCGCATTCAGTTAATTTGTAACAACTGCAGAGAGAAGGGCAGCATAGTTTTAAAACATGTTTTTTTTTTCTGCATTTCTAAAATAAGGAAAACTTCTGTTATTTCAGTAGCATCTGGAATACCTGCAATAATATCTTAGATGATTGGCTTGTAGTCATCTCCTGTAAGAATGTGAGTTGGTGGTTGGGTGTTTTTGTTTGTTTTGTTTTCCAAAATTTTCCTTAGTCATGATATATCTTTCACAATAGTGGACACTTCTGCCCTGAAATGCTCCATTATCCAGAAGGAAGTGATGCAACTGTAGTAAACAATGGGTCCAATATAACAGCAGATAGACAGTTAAATAAGTCTAGTTCTGAAGTAGTACCTGTGTTCAGGAGAACTATAGTGACATGCTAGTTGACATGAAGTTTAACAGTGAGCCTTAGGAAGCATGTCTCAGTTTTTAGCGTGCCTGGAAGAAAGGAGGTTTGAACTGAACTGCCAAGATATGCCCACAGAACTGGGTGCCAGTAGCAAGGCTCTATGAGAACAGAGCAAAACAGTCTTTTATCTGATTACTGTTGCATTTTATGTGTATGTTTTCAAATACCAGTCATAACTGTTCCTTTGACAGTGGTGGGAAGTAGGAGGAGACCTGGAAGAGAATAGATGATAAATGACATTCTAATGTTTTGGTACCAAAAACTTCAAAGCAGTTGGGGCAGAACCTGGATTTCTAATACCTGATGGTCTTCCGGAATAGCAGTTATTCCTATGCTAATTAAATATATTACAAAACATGTGATGTAATTTAATAAAAATATTGTATTTCTCCGTAGCCAAGAGAAAATGATTTGTCTGTCTATACAGCAAACAAGCCAGTCTAAAATGTGAGATGGCGTGTCTGTAAGAGGAAATGCAGGGATTGTTCTGCATTGTGGAAAAGGTGCTTTGGGTTGGTTTGCCCTACTTCAACTATAATACACAGAGCATGCACATTAAAACTGGTTGTATATCATGTACCTTTCTAGGTAAAAGATGGTTGCAGTTGGCTGTATGAGGCTAATTGTCTGCCCATTACAATTGAGTGAGTCTTATATTGTCTCCTGTTTCAGAAGTATTTTCATTAGTGTCATTTTCCTTGCTAAGGAGCTACAGTGTGTATTTAAAAATAAATAAATAAATAAATTAGTTGGAGAAATGCCCTCAAGAGTAATTGCCTAGCCAAAAAAACAGTAGTCATGCAGTCTGGTATGGGTCTAGAATGGGGAGAGGAATATCTCGGCAGTGTTGCAGTATTGAAACAGGAAGTTAATCTGAAATAGGTTTGGTTTGACAGTCAGTCATTTCCTGACAGATGAAACTGTTTCTCAGAAAACATTATTCAGAGGAAAATAAATTACAGGGCTATTATTCTTTATTGATACCTTTATTGAAACTCTTAAGACTTAATACTTTCCTTCTAAATCTTATCTTTAGCTCGTATCAAAGTAGTCCAGTGTCTTAGGTTGACTGTAAAGACCTTCAGAGATCTTCCTACTGCATTCCCAGGTTCAGAGGCAGAAAGGGAATCCCCCCTCAAGTAAAATTGTCAGGATTTCTTTTTCTCCCTCTTGTGAGAGATGGCACAAGTTAGTTTTCTCTTTAGCCCTTATTTATGACATGGCGTGTAGCGTATTTTCTTAGGTCATCTGAACACTTTCACCAAATAGATCATGTTGCTGTTGGAGAATCTTAAAAGGTAGTGATTTCTCTTTGTTTTCTTCAGGAGGCAGCTAGTAGACTTTGTGTTGGATCTTTCAACTGTAGGCTTATAGTTGTTGTAGAACATATGCCAGGGAGAGAGGAATGTGAAGAGTACTGTTCTTTATGAGAAACCGAGTTGGAGCTGATGTGGATGGTTTTGCACTTAGCGCTGATTATTTATTATGGCAAAATGTTCCCTTTTTGTCCTTTGTTTCAAGTTCATGCCTGGAGGTTCTGTCCAAAATAAGTCTACTGCACTTCTTGCTGTCCATCTTAGAAGCTGAAATTAATGTGGTGTTTTTTTTTTTTTTTTTTTTTTTGCATGATTATCCAATGATTCTATAGGACATGTTGTTACCAGAAGCATGTTATAAATAAACAGTGTGTGTTGCTTTTGGAGATATTTCTTTCTTAAGGTTTGGGGAAGAGGGGAGTCGTCCTGGCACTGACCTAGACTTTAGAACAGGAGAGTTCATTAGGAAGGGACTGTCAAAGATCATAGTCTGAGCGCTTCAGAGCTAGTCAACATTTAAACCATGTTGATGGTGCAGATTTGTGTGAGCGCAGCATGCAAGCTCTTGTTTGTGGCTGGTGAAAATACACAGCTAATGGTGGTGACTGTTGATAAACAGTGTTTTATAGCTCCATCAGGTAGTGTTACAGAGCTCTTTGTGTCTGCTGTAGTTTCCATGGAAATACATACAGCATTATTTTCAGAGCGACCTACGTGTTTCAGTATGAATACATTCCAGTTACAAGCTAAGCCTTTGCCGATGTATCATGGTGGCATGTGCTGCATGCAACCATTGGCAAGGTGAGGAAAGCTGCTTTGCCTTTCCTTTGCCTTAGGCTCCCTCTGAAACCATTTGTCTGAAAGCTGTGAGCGTACATCCGGTAACGGAGGGCTGTGATTTGGGTAATGCAGCAGCTCAGGTAGACCAGATTTAGATTAGTGAAATGAAGGGGATTTACTGGCAGGGAGTGAAGCGTCACACAGGGTCACTGGGATGGCTTATCGCTGCATGTTTTATTTGTGACTTTCTTTAATCCACTAAGTAGCATGTCACCCTTCCCTGTTATAGCACCATATTTGGCAAGCAGACTTCTCTTGGACAGAAGATGTTTTTTAGGTTATGCAGCGGTTTCATGTTTAGAAGTGCAATTGATTTTTCTGAATAAAACCTTTCATTAGTCAACTGTAAGGTCTATGTCATGTGAACTGCCAAACATTCCTATCTCTTTTTAACTGGATACCTCACTTTCCTTTTTGCAGGGGTGGGCAATGTGCAGTGTAAAATCTTGGCCTTGTGTGAGATGCAGGGAGCGTTATAGGTAACAGTGGAGGGAAAGGGTTTTGCCAGAAGTGGGTAATAAGAGCTTATCTCAGACAAGGTGGCTGTGGGAGCAGTGTTCTTAGTGCGGGAGCCAGAATGCGAAGTGTTCTTAAGGTTGCCACTTCCTTTTCAGCTGTGTAATTTGTCAAAATAGGGAAATTAACACTTCAGAAAATGAGTGCTGTATTTTAGCTGTTGTGAGCTTGGCAGTGTTTAAGATAGATCTTTTAGATTAGATTTAAGATATGTTTATCGTTCGTCTAAATCTGAAGTCCTGTGTAACTGGAAATGATTTACATATGAGAAAAATGTTACAGCTAACTTGCTGTTGAAGGTTGGCTCGCTTCATTTAATTCAGCCAAGCAAGCCAGAACTTGAATGAGGTTTCTAGGTCATTGTGTCCTTTAGGAACCCATTCCCCTGAAAGGGAAATCAATATTTGCTCGTGGCTTTCTTTGTCCCCTGGGTATGCCACCGTATTTGGAGGTTTGCCTCTGTTTTGACCGGGCAGGAGGAGGGAGAATTAACTGTTAGGAGTTATTTCCAAACTTTCTTTGTAATGTTAACAGAGCAGAACATAGAAGAGGCTTAAAAATAAAGCTGAAAATGTGTGTAAGTGCTACAGTACCAAGTCTTGTTAGGGCCAGGCAGTTATCTCCTGCTGGCAGCAGAGCAGCAGCTGCTGCTGGGTGATCAAACTGTTAACAGTGCCTGCTTACGTCACCTTTCCGAGAACACTAGTACCGGTATGTGTGATTTACTATAACAAGATCTTAAGTTTTTCCTGTTGGCAGATGACATGTAATATTTACAAAGGTCTTGGTTTCTCTCCAGTAGAAACATTTCAGATAAAGTGATATATGAAAGGAAAAAGTAACACTTGAATTTCCAGATAAAATAATGCAAGGACACATTTTTACCTTAAAACACATCTTAAGTCTTCTGTCTTGACTGTTGGTTTTTTTTTTTTTTCCTTCATACGGGCATACAAATTGTTATAAGACTCCTGAGAGTCAAGATGGTGCTGTCTCACATCTGGAATGCTAATGAAAACAGACAACCTGGTAGCTTTCTCATTCTTTTATATTAAAAATAGCTTTACAGCATACTTCTGTGCTGTACACAAAAAAGCTAGAAGCTAGACAACCTCAAACCTTTGTCCTCTGGGGGAGAAAATGAAGAATTTCACTGTTCGCTTTCTTCTGTGAATCTGGTAAGGTGACCATATATTTAAGAGGCTGAGGAATATGTGATGTAAGAACAGTCATTACAGTCTCGTAAAGGATCCCTGTACATCCTGGTAGCTTCTGGCAGCTGCCAGTAGCAGGGAGCTGAGGAAGAGTGTAAAAGCAGATCAAGGCAAAGTAAATACATTTTTCCCAGGTTTCCAAAACTGTGGAAAGTATTTGTAAAATAATACAAGCAGCCCACAGAACAAGGGGCCAGTTCATTAACTTTGTTCTGATTCTCATATAAGCTGTTTGCCCAGTCAGGGTCACGTTCATGGATTTCTTCTTAGATAAGCCTTGTGCTGTATAGGCTGGCAGTGACACAGGGACAGCATAGCTCTCCCGAGGGTGATAATCAGTGGTTGCTTGCACGAAGGTCATGGGTTTTGTTAATTTTGTAAGATAGATGTCAAAAGGAACTTAAGCTTTTGGTGATGGTATGGGAAAGGGAACAGAGGACTGACGTGCTTTGGCAGCAGCTGCGACAGCTCCAAGTAAGTTTTGTGGTCAGTGTCAGTGAGAAATTGGCATCGCACCCTGACTCACTGCTGGCTCTGTCTGTTGCTTTACAGAATGGCTTCCTGAAATGCACTCAAGTAGCTTTGTTATTGTTCCTTAGTTCTTACAAACAATCTATCGGTGGTTGAGCTTCAGGGGGTTCACAGTCAGTCAGAGCTCAGTTTGTGATATGCAATTGTGCATGGATTTCAGACAAAAGTTGCTGTTTATTTAATGGAGTCTGATAAATGGCTGACGAAGGATTATTTGCTGTGGATGAGTCTGATTACTTAAGTGCCTGGTAGAAGGCAGTTAGGAAGTACTGGAAAGTCCTACACACATACAGTCACAGTGACTTTTCATTATGCAGCATTGTCATATGACAGTCTGATAATCTTTCTCAAGTTAATGTTAGTATTTTAAAAACAATCCTTTGACTGCTTCCATCTGCAATGAGTAGCAAATCTTCTGCCCTGCTTGCAAAATCGTGGGAAAGGTAGAAAGCATGTAATAAAATTAGGCTTGTTTAATTGGAAGATTTGTTTAATAGGAACATCATTTATGTGCTACTTCCTTAGTGCTTCTAATTTGCATTGTGTTAAATGACGAGGAAAATTAAGTTCAGCAAAGCTTGATTTGAATGATTCTAAGTAGGTAATTTTTTAGCCATGTCAGTTTATGATTCTGCCTTGGCCTTGTAGTTCACTGAAGACCTTGGAATTCCAAACTTAAGGCAAACCATGCAGTGGAACGTAGCCTGTTGTGGGTTGTCATGCTGTTATATTAAGGAAATAAAATTGTTGAAGGATGGGCACAAGCTGCTTTTGTTGGTGTGGGGAACTGGCTCTTTTTTAGAGGAGAAGTGGTATTCCAGATACTAACCTGTGATGGAATGCTGAGGGCAGAATGAGTCAGCCATTGTTATCAATGTTGCATGAGGAGCTGCTTTCATGTAGCTGGCCATTTGCTTAGATAGAAAATAAATTCTTTAATGATTGCTTCGTAGGCCTAACCTCTTCTGCTGCAGAGTATTGGTGAAAGGAAAGGCATTGTTCATTCTTAAGTTTCCTTTAATTTTAGATGATCACAGTCGAGTAAAACTGCAGAACACAGAGAATGATTATATCAATGCCAGCCTAGTGGTCATAGAAGAAGCTCAGAGATGCTATATCTTAACACAGGTAAGTCATCAATCAGTCACCAATCAGCAGGTACTACAGGGAATGCAAGTATGGGGGAAGTGGATTTGTACAATGGTAATTTACGTTCGGATGATTCCTCATCACTCTGTATTATGTATCTCATGCTAACAGCCTGTTTGATCCAGTTGTGAACACACATTTTAATAAAAAGATAAAGGGGAATGTTTAAGTGTATATAATAGACTGTCTCTAAAGCTTTGTAGATATTTCCTGCTTTTCAGGTAATAATGGTTTTATACTATTAAATATAAACTTTCAGAAGTGTGTGTTATACTTCATAGCTCTGACAGTATCTCCTGTTCTCTATGCTTATATGTATGTAAATAAGCATAGCAAGTGTAAAACAGAAGATGAAGTTAAATAAAATTAGGGGTATGCATAATTTTTATACTTTTTATAAGTGTGAAAGTATAAAACAATACCACTTAATTCTTGTTTCTTTTCAGTATGCCTGCAGTATCGTTTCTTCTAACTGCACAGTAGTGTTGATGCTGAAACTAAAGCATCCGTTCCCTGAGTTTTTATTGCTTTGATTAAAGTTTAAGTACTTGAGTGATTTGTGCAGTGTGGTTGCTTTCTTTCCTGTCTTCTCTATCATTTTGTTAATAGCTTGATTAAACTTTTTGGACAAAGACTTCGGTTGGTTTCACACAGTAACACATTAGTCATGTTCAGACATTGCTTATGCATTTTCCTATTCATTTTTCTTTTTGCCACACAGGGTCCACTACCTAATACGTGTTGTCATTTTTGGCTAATGGTATGGCAACAAAAAACCAAAGCAGTTGTTATGCTGAACAGAATTGTTGAAAAAGACTCGGTGAGTAACATCAGACATTTTGCTTAAGCTGTAAAGTGAACCATGTAGGTTTAATATTGCTGAACATACAGATTGATTCTTATGGGTAAAGAATCAACACTTTTTCATTGCTGCACAGCATAATATGTATATACTATACCATTAAACAAAGTGATGGAGCTAAGGTAAAACTGATTTCACTAAAACCAACATCTAGTATACATCCAGAAAGGTGAAAGTAACATGGTGAAAAAGGAGTGCATAGAGACATAACTAAGATGAAGTAGAAGCAATATAAATTTTTAGAAATTAAAAAAAAAAAAAACCAAAAAAACAACACCCAAGTGGGAAGATGCATTTGAGTTAAAGCTTTAGATTGTTTCAGAGCAGTGTGTTTTTGTGCAGTGTTAGGAACTGTGCATAACAGGCCAGGCTGCCTCCACCAGCTGTTGAAGTGGTCTGATTATTTTGGATTACTTACAATTGGTGGTACACATAAAAAGTATATCAATCTTCTGTTATTGTGTAGGTTTTTTCTACTAATGTGCCTGAAATCACTGTGGATTTGAATGATAAATGCATGTCATTTTGTGGAGTTTTTTTTTTTTCTTTCCCTAGGGTGTATTTGTTAGTGAATTTTTTTTGCCTAGTCCATGGACAAAGTCATTTCTTTACCTACAGTGAGTTTGAGTGCAAAGCAAGAGGAGTAAAGGATGAGGAAGTTCTGCATTGCTAATTTGTTCTTGTTTCACTAAATCTTCCAATTTTCAGCGAGGCTTAGGGAAATAGGCACAACGTGTTGCATCACTTCTGTAAATGTGCAGATGTCCATGTCAGAAATGCAGGGAAGAAGTGTTGAAATAGATGAGTAAAGATCTCTGTAAGAGAACTAGGTGGAAAGCTGGGGAAAGGGTGAAGGGTTAAGGTCTCAAGACGCACTGGAACTGTCATGAAGGAGAGAGTGAACAGCTGCAGCTGGAATGCCTAGCAGCAGTTGAAACTGTTGCAGTCACTTGAGTGTAAACTTTACAGGATCTGAGAATTCCTCAAACTGGGAGCAGGTAATGTATACTGTATTTAAAGGTCTCAGAATTTGGTAGCACAAATCCCAGGGTGCTAGGGTATGTAACTATATTTTTTTTCTTCTTTTTCCACATAGGTGAAATGTGCACAGTACTGGCCAACGAGAGGAGAAGAATTTATGATGTTTAGTGAAACAGGTTTTCGTGTGAGGCTAGTATCGGAAGAAGTCAAATCCTATTACACTGTTCACCTACTGCAATTAGAAAATATCAACGTAAGCTTTTGGAGTCTGTATATCTCATATTCCTGACCTTAAGTACATAATGCAAAGCACTTAGCACACTGTCACTGCAGGTTTAATAGAGCTTTTACACTGAAAATTATAACGTGTTTTGCTTTTAATAATGTTGAAGATGAAGTGTGGCATATAGCAAGTGAGTAAATCTCAATCTAAATGTTAAGAGGGAAGTCCTGCAGCACTTCTTTTAGTATTTTTGTTTTCCATTTGGCAGTATCTTAGCGTGCTGAATTTTTATTGGTGGTAGAGGTGATCCTAAGAGGAGCTGTAAGAAATACCCTAAAAGGAAGAACCTAGGATGTTTCTGATTTCGTTTGAATATCAGAAATGATACCCAGTTATTACTATATATTTTTTAACTATAGTTTTCCACATATTTCAGTGCAGCTAAGTAAGTTTGGGGTGGGAGGGAGGGACAATTGCCACCTGTGGATAGGTAACATTATCTCCTCTTGCTTACCTCCCCTTTTGCTCCACAGGACCAACCATCCTTTTCTCTTAAAAATTAAGCACTTTGACAATTTAATCAAGTTAAGCTCAAAAAAAATTGTTCCTGGCCTGAGCTTGGGTTGGAATTTGCTGCTTCTGTTTCAGAACTGAAGACAGGATTGAAGAGCTTGTCTGTTTGTTCCAGCTATGTCTTGTAAGATATTCTCTCTCCCTATAAACCTTGCCTTATATTAATTGAAAGTGATCGTATGGCAAGTTTTATTCAAAGTTGTTTTGTCAGTGGATTTGAGAAAGGAAAGCTTGAAGAGGATTTTTCTTTTGCATGTTGTTTTATACAACTAAGTCTCGATATGTTTGATCAAAATTATTTGAATTTATAGTAACTCTTAATGATACTTTGAAACAAGTACCATTTGTTTGTTAATTTGAAACCTCCCTCACGAGATCAGCATGATAAAACTTGGCATGTTGTTCCTTGATTTATTCAATGAAAGGAGAGCTTTATGAAATTCTGACCTACTGACTTGGAGAATTTCTGTTAGTCTTTGGTTTGTTAACAGCAAAGGCTAAGCAAAAGAGCAGTACTGCTTGCAAGATAGTATTTGGGAAAGAACCACTCTTCTTTTTGGAAAGCTGAGGCAAGTTTTCCTAACTATCAAAAAGGCCTTTTTTTTTTTTTTTTTTTCTTCTAATAATGATTTGACTGCCATTGGCCTGTAATCTTGGATTTCCTGTTTTTTTTAAAGAATACAGTTTTCATGATACATCTGTGTTTGGACATAACGTTAGCTGGAAAATGCCGAGATCGCATGAGGAACAGCACAGTAGTGTAAGCACTGTAGTAGACTTCATGGCTTAAAGCTACTGAGAGCTGAAATGCCTGGGTTTACTGGGCTGTTAATGCGTGCCCCATCAGTGTTATATAGACATTCTTGTAAGTAACTTTACTCACACAAATATTTAGCAAACGTACTGTACTGAATTTTTATTTTATGCCCTAATACTTCTATAAGGTTTGAATAATGCTAACTCCAAATAATATTTTGTATGTGAAACAGCCAGAAGAAACAGAACATAATCAGTTACTTGGGGGGGGGGGGGGACAAAAACAAGAAACAGCAACATAGTTCCCAGAATAATAACACTGTGAATTGCAAGTGCAGCCTTCTGTAAGAATTTTGAAGTGTGCTATTAAGATTAGTGGGAATTGAGTATTCACGTTGAATTGAAATGTGAGCTTTAGTGTGCTCATGCACTTTAACTCTGGAGGGGGCTTTTGTGGGGACAGAATAGGAAACCATTTAGCCACTTGATGCCTGGAATATAGGATGAGTCAGAGATACAATTTTATTCTGAGTTCCAAGAATACTTAAGAAATTTTAGCATTTCCATGAAAACGCAGAGAACTTAAATCGGCTTTACAGTACAGCTATTCCGAACTCAAGTAAATTATCTGTGTTACTTTAACAAATCTCACTAATACACAAGCAAAATGAATATGTGTGAAAAGAAGCATTTAATGTTCTAACCAGTAGGACAAAATCTGAGTATTTGTTTCTAATTTATTTGTCATTTAAGAGCAGTTAGAAATACAGCTGATAGGGATTTGAGGGGTAGTGTGTGTTTTTAGGGTTAGATGGTGATATTTGACAGTTCGATTGGTTTAGATCTGTTTCGGGCAAGTGTTTGTTTTTGCTTTTGTGGCTGAAGTTGCCCAAAAACTTTGTAGAGGAGATGATGTTCATTGGTGTCTTTTTTTCAGCTCCCCTTAAGGTAAGACTGAATGTGAAGGCTTCTATAAACCCTCGCATGCAATGGAAAATAAGAGTAGAGGAAACTACTGTGCTTACATTATAAATTTGTAATAATTTACTTGAAAAGCTATTGCATGTCTATGACTTGAAGTAACACCAAGTGTAATGGAGAAGTTGATAAGTATTTTAGAGCCTTTTGTTAAATCCATGCTTCATTGGATGGAGTGACTGTTTGGTGGCTATCATCATATTCTGGGTGAGTTGTTAGGTATTCACAGGTGATTTCTGTAAGATTCCACTGTGTACAGAATGTGTAATTGATTAATCCTTTTGGCTTTCCTCGTGATGAGTACTTAAAAGAAAACTGTATTTCCAGTAACTTCTGGTGAGGTGGTCAGGTAGCGTGAAGATTCAGTGTGCATCACCCACAGGGTATAGTGCAGTGAGTGCTGATGAACTTAAGGGGAATAGGTCGGTTCTGGGGAGTTCAGGGAAGCTTCAGGGAACAAAGCAATATCAGAATCTGAGGGAAACTCAGATTTGAGGGGGGTTGGAACTACATGATCCTTGGGGTCCCTTCCAACCCGGGTGATTCTGTGATTCTGTGATTCTGTGAAACCAGAGATTGGCTCAATGCTGAAATGGAGCAGTGGAAAGGAATGAAACTTCTGTTTGTTTGTTTTTTTTTGCCTCCCCCTCTTTGAGTAACTTCTGTTCTGAATTATGTTCTGTTTCTTCTAGCTGTTCCACATACAAAATATTATTTGGAGTTAGCGTTCTTCAAGCCTTATAGAAGCACTAGGACATAAAATAATAATTCAGTACAGTACATTTGCTAAGTATTTGTGTGAGTAAAGGTATCTCAGGCTGGGTTCCTAGAAGTAGGAACAAGTAAAGCACCTCGAGGAAAGGTAGTAATCTAGATTCCTTGCAATGTTAGTGGTAGGAGACTTTAGAGTAAGGTTCCTTAATACATTTCAGGTGGAAGCACAGGATCAATGTAGTAAATAAAGATAAGATTAGAGTTGTTGTTGATTTCCAGTGTTCAACATTTTAAATGTCTGAAGAAGGTAATTTGGTTATGAAGGCAGCAATCTAATGGCAGGCCATGTTCTGTTATCTCATATATAATGTGATTTTTGTCATTGTGACTGTGTATGTATTTATGTAACTGCTGCAGTGGTTGGAAGGAATTTCTGAAACATGGCATACGCTTGTTTTAAACTCTAGGACATTCTCAGCACTTTGAAAAGTTTAAATAAGTATTTTGCTCCTCAGTGCTTATGAAATAAAGCTGAGATGTTAGGAGGAATATCATTTCCTTACAAGAGTCTGGGTTTTCCTTTCCTATATGTGCTTTACAGATTTAGAAGGCATAACTCCTAGGAGAGGATATGTACCAGCTTTGGAAAGCAGAATGTTTGTGAGAATTATTTAGCTGCATTATCTTCATTACAATTTTTCATATAATTTGAAAGCTGTTCTGTCAGGCATTAGAATGAGGAAAGAGAGAAGGCTGTGGTGAAAGTCAGTAATTTTGAATGTCAGTACTTCTGTTAGTACTCCAGAGCACACCTCATTTCTATACAAATTATATGTTAATGCATTTGAGGCCTGATGGTGAAATACAAGACCAGCACTGGGATTTGTGTGTATTTTTATTCCTTGATGTTAGACCATTTAAGTTGCCTATCAGCTATCACAGCTATTTTTTTTTTTTTTAAGGTGTGTTTGTGTGAACTTTGGCAGGTGAGCATTTTCTGTCTTAACTTGGTTTGCTTGACACCGAAAGCATCAGTTTCTTTGAGCAATTTGATAGTATTTTATTACTGTTCAGGCTCTCAGGTGACTGAATCTAAGGTGACGAGAGTTATTCTGAGATTTTTGTACCCTGCCTAATTGGATTATTGGATATTCACTGTAAAATGATTGTGGTAAGGTTTATTTTGTGGATAGGTTGCCTTGTTGCCTTATATTATTCTTCTGCTCTGATCCTTGCTAGCTTGTAACTCGGAGCATGGCTTGTGATGGTGCTGCAGGTCTTGCTATCAGTGGAGAGCTGTGCAGTAGGGTATTAACTTCCAAGTTGACCAGTTTTAGCTGTAATTATTTGCTGTAAGCTTATCGCAGTATTTAATGAAACATTCACTAGAATGGTTTGACAGCATTTTCAAAAAGTTTTAAAATATTATGTGATGACCTCTGTAGGATATTTTCTGTAGGATAGGTAGCTAGGCTTAAAGAAAAAGTGTTAGAAGAATATGGCATAGTAACTATAGAATGAACTGATTCTCAGTTGTCAAGCAGAAAAGCATTACCTGCTTAAACCATTTACCTATGTAAACCTACTTATACCATTTATGTATCTGCAAAATGTGTAGTACCTGTCTGAATCCTGAGGCTTGGCTTTTTTTCTTCAAAAGGGCATTAACATTTAAAGCTTAACAGCTTTAAATAATTGGCTGTTCCTTAACTGAATTTCTGTCACTCAACAGTTGTGACTCCTTACCAAGCCAAGCCTTTTCTCTCCAGAGTCTTGCAAGAGTTCATGTAGGAGGTACCTGTGGTGCATGGCTAGCCACATGCCCCCAAAACAAAGTTCTTCAAGAAAGAATGGTACAGTTACTCCCATAAAGACAGTATTTCAGTTGTCCAGCTTGACTGCCAAGCACCACTTGAAAGAGAGTCTGTGTGAGAGAGAAAATGTGGGAGGTTTCAAAGAGTCAAATGGGACTTGGCTGTATGTTTAAAAACTGCAAGTTCAAAGACCAGCCAGTTGCAGAGCTTTGAAATGAGACTCAGAAAGAGAGATGAGGAGACTAGATATTTTTAAATGAGCTTAAGTGATGGAAAATTCTGGAATAGATAAAGCTCTCATACAGTATGGGGAGGAAGAAAAAAGTAATTCAGTGGACTAGAGATGGATGAGATGTACAGTAGCATTGATCTATTTTTCCATTAGGTATAGCTTTTTCCAGATTAGTGTGTGCACAGGGGACACTTGGCCATGTGGTGGAAGCACCACTGTGTGTTTTTCTTTGTTTAAAGGTGAGGATGCTAGTGCTTATTACAGTAAGGGATTTAAACAAAACAAAAGAAAAACTCGACTCCATCCCACAGGTCAGCTTTATTTTCCATAGATAAGTACTGCTTTTTGTTGTTTTGAGGTATAAGGGAGGCTTTCATCTGGAATACTGTTAAGAATCTTGAGGAGGAGGAGAGAGTACAGATTACCACTTCAAAAGATCACCTACATTCAGAAGAAACACCTTTAAGCTTCTCTTTACCTATTATGTTCTTCTACCTCCCCTCTCCAGTTTTTCTCTTTATTTTGTCAATTGATGAATTATTTTTCTGGAGATTTTTCTGAGGAGATTGCTTAGTATGTTGCATTCCTTAAATTTTTATAACTACCAAACTTCTTTTCAAGAACATCTCCTTCATGATGTTTAAAAAAAGTTGGCTAGTTAAATTAACCTGGTATCATTAAAGCTACATCTCAGCTGAGAACACAGACTTTTTTTAATGCTTTGCTTCAGACAAATAAGAAAGGAAAATCCCTGTATTTATGTAATCGAGGAGGGTTTGGTAGATTTTTCCTTTCGGAAATGTTACTGTATACTCATGTACCAAGTGTGATGGGTCAGACCGTTTTCCATGTTGAGCTTTTATCCCTGAAACATCCCTGCAAAATGTTGTGCATTTAAGATTGAATTGAGTCACAGTAATAGATCCTGTTGTCTGTGGAAATGTGCAGTCTTGCAGTATCAGGGCAAAAGACAGTGTGAAAATATTCTTGTAATTGTGATAACTATGAACTGGGCAATCATAGTTTCACAAAGGAGTTTCATATGTTATCCCTCATATAGCTTGTTGTTACTGAAAAAGAAAAATAGATTTTCTGTAATGCACATACCTTAAATTGATTGATGTTTCAAGTATATGCAAGTTTACGTAGATGTTAAAACCGTGGAAAAATAGGTGAAATGGAGGGAGATTTAAAAATTCCTGAACTAAATTGCTGACCAAATTGTCTCAGAATCAGCGTGTAACAAGGAGAGGAGAGGCAAGGAGTAGCATTTAACAGCAAACCTGAAGGGAGTTCTGCGAAGGTATGGCTCAAATCCATGACTGAAGCTTTTCAGTATACATGCAGATTTGCTTACTGTTGTTTTATTATTTGCTGAGGAAAAATTTGTGTGGTGTTTGAATTCTTACTTACAATGAATGAATACTTCAAGCTGAGTCTTGTTGCACGTTCTTGCTACTCTCAGTGGTGCAGTTAGTAGAAAGGAGATGCTGGTACCTCTTGGTATTGTACCCTGCTCTGAGCAGAAGAGAGTGCTTGCAATGCTGATGGGTATTTTTTCAGTCCTGTCCACCATAACATGATTGCCATCAGCCATTAAGTTGCATTAATGGTTTAGAAGGAATATTTAAGGGCAAGTAGTAAAGCAAAAAATAAAACAGTGAAAGTTTGAGAAGAGGAAAAACAATATTTAGTAATAATTTCAAAGGGGAAAAACTACTAATGCAGGTGATGAAATGCTTCATATTGCATTGTTACTAGTCATCCAGCTTGCAAAAAGATATTAGATTGTTTATCTGAATGGGAGGTTTGAAATAGAGTTGTATTGATTTGGACTGGGGAAATGTGTGCTAACTAAACACAAATTGAGTACTTTCTAGTTGCACTGTTTGTCTTTTCTTCTAGAGTGGAGAATCCAGGATGATATCTCACTTTCATTATACTACGTGGCCAGATTTTGGAGTTCCTGAATCCCCAGCTTCATTCCTGAACTTCCTTTTTAAAGTCAGAGAATCTGGTTGTCTAAGTCCTGAACATGGACCTGCAGTGGTTCACTGTAGTGCAGGGATAGGACGATCCGGCACGTTTTCATTAGTAGACTCTTGTCTTGTTCTGGTAAGTACTTAGCTGTTTTCTGTCACTGCTTTCCTTCCCACACTCTGCCTTTGTTCCCATTGTGGGTGTTTTGGTCAGAAGGCTTTAAAAGCATTTAAGGTAATGACGTATCAGTAAAAGTTTTAGTTAGGGTATCAGGCTTCTTCACGTTATATAACTATATTTTGTTTATAACTATATATATAAACTATATATATATAAATAAAACTATATATATATATATTATATATATATATATATATATATATATATAAAAACTATATTTTGTTTATAACCATTCTTTTAATGGTTATAAACAAAAGTCTTAAAATACATTGATAAATCTATCTGGAGGTATTTCACCCATTTCACAGCATTCTGGAAAGTACATAGGCAGCACTCTTTCTCTTTTAGATGAGATACACAAAGTAGATTGAGATTAGCCTAGGTGGATTGTATCGTTATTCATAATTTGACTGCACTTTAAATGTTAAATAAAATTTAAAGTACCTTTTAAGTTTTTGATTTTCAAATTTCAGAATCCACTTTTGGCTCTGTTGGTTAATAGTGAGAAGTATGGCATAGGGTTAAGGAAAATGATTTCATTTGAAGTCTAAACTAGTCATCTTATGTTTTGAGTATGCCCTCTCAATTTGTTCTTTTTCTTCAGTTTTTTTGTGTAGTTTAAAAAACCAAACAGCAACAGCAAAACCCCAGCGTGTGTATTTTGATGCAAGCATACTTTAATGTTAAAAGAATTAAAGCAAACATTGCAAGGAGTGCAGATATGTGATTTAAACAGCTCCCATGAGTCTAGCATGGAGCTCAAAATGTGTGTGTTACACATAAATTAGAGGATCTGCTTTAAATAAGGAAGTGTCTGCTCTACTCCAAACTGCTGTTCTACTCGGGAGTTGTAGGAAGTGCTATTTTATGATTCTGATTGTGATAGGCCTACTTTGAAGTACATCTTGGAATCAAACCAAGTGCGTCTAAATTCCTCATAGTTAAGACTTGATAATAGAGTACTGATTTATTTGGTTAATACATGGTTGTAGATTTGCTTAGGACAAGCTTTCGTTAATGATTTCCTTTTTCTTTCTTTTTTCCTGTGAAAACCAATTTAGAAATCTTGAGGTGTTAATTTCTTACGTAACTACCAGGAACATAATGTGATGGAATTTTTGGTTTGCATTTTGTGGTTCACCTTTTTTATCTGTAATTTTTTTTAACCATATCTATGACACTTTCAATATAACCTTCTTTACAGATGGAAAAAAAGGATCCATTTTCTGTAGATATTAAGAAGGTGTTACTGGATATGAGAAAATACCGAATGGGACTTATTCAGACACCTGATCAACTAAGATTTTCATATATGGCTGTAATAGAAGGAGCAAAATTTATAATGGGGGATTCAACTATACAGGTAATTACTTTAGCTCTGTGTGTTTAAGCATAAACAGTAGACTGCTAACAGTAGTTAAAAATGAGCTCTGAGCTACTTTAAAATCATCAATTTTGTGGGTTTAAAATACACTACCTTTTCCAGTATGTTTCTTGAGGGTATTAAAGGTACAGCCCTTTCTAGCTGCTTAACTCCTAATCCTATGTAATTGTCTTCTCTGAGATGTACAGACAAGTTATTTTTGCATTTCTAATTTTAAAAAGATTAAATCACTATTTTCAGTACTGAAAAGCAGAAGTAACACTCGGTGTCACTTTGAAAAGACAACAAGAATCTCTGCTGGATTCCTCAACTTCTTGCCCTACATTTTCTTAGCAGTAATAATTGTCTGATGCTAAAAATGAGCTTTATTAGTAAAGCTTCATTTTTTTCATATCCTTTACATTTTATATTACAGTTAGAATCTAGCTAAATATAGTGAATTTCAGAGATTACCAAATCTCACCGCTCTGTCAGTGTAGCTTGCAGGAATTATGGTAGCTACAGCTATTTCAAATGTCTTGGTGGGGGAGGGAGGGCCAGGAGGAGAGGCTGTGTAAGGGACTTAATTCTGCTTTCATATGCTAGGGCTTTTTTGATTGATTCATTAAAATTAATGAAGCAGATCAGCTTAAACATCTCCTGTGGTTCTGGAAGTTGTCAGATTCTTCTTCTAGAATTTTTTCCTTGACTTGCTATGTATATAAATAAATCACTTTACACAGCTACTTACCAACATGTAGAGAGTTTGCTGCTCATCTGAACAGCTGCACTGAGAGCCTAGAATACTGCATGATTCATCCAAACATGTGCAGCCTCCTACCTTTCTGGAGCTTTCTGGGAATATGAGCGTGTTCTCTTTCCATAATTTTTCTGCTTTGCTTATTAAAAAGCTGTGCTTCAAGTTGTGCAGCTCTGATTCCCACGTACTTGCAGAAACAAGAAATCTTTCAATATAAATAGAAGGAAGTATTGCCAACTCAGAATACTCTCGTCAACTTTGTTATTTCTGCATTTGGCATGTTTTCTGTGGTGATTGTTCAGATGAGCTGTCTTAAGTCAGTATTTTCTGCAGTGCAGTTAGTTGTCCAGATGCTTTTCTCTTTCCGCATCATGGTCATGTGCACAAAATCAGTATGTGTTTGACCCAAGCCTGCAGTACATAACAGGAGCATTTCCACTTTCAAGGTTGGCTAGATTTTTTTTCCCCACTTGGCAGAGAATTGTTGTAATGTCCAGAGTGTGAGAGGTGTTGGAGTGAGCATGTAGTAATGACAGGTTTCTCTGAAGTAACACTAACCAAATGTTGGTCTCTGACTTCTCCATGGATTTCAGTGAACTCTGCAGGCAAGCAGTTTACTGGCCTATGATGGAGTGATGACATTGGTAGACAGGGGAAGGGTGGTGGGTGTTGCTTACCTGGACTTCTGCAAAAGCCTTTGAAATGGTCCCCCACCATGTTACTCTCTAAATTGAAGAGGTGTGGATTTGAAGGATGGATGTTCGATGGATTAGGAATTGATTGGCTGGACACAGCCAAAGGATCGTGATCAATGGTTCTGTGTCAGGATGGAGACTGCTCACAAGCGGCATTGCTCAGGGGTTGGTCTTGGGACCGGTGCTCTTCAACATCTTCATCAATGACAGACAGTGGCATCGAGTGCACCCTCAGCAAGTTTGTGGATGACACCAAGCTGAGCTGGGTGGTCAGTACACAGGAAGGAAAGGAAACCATACAGAGGGACCTGGACAGGCTGGAGAAGTAGGCCCATGAAAACCTAATGAGGTTCAGTAAGGCCAAGTGCAGGGTGCTGCAGTTGGGCCAGGGCAATCCCAGGTATTTATACAAACTGGGGGAAGATCTCCTTGAGAGCAGCACTGTGGAGAAGGACTTAGGGGTCCTGGTAGATGAGAAGCTGGACATGAACCAGCAGTGTGTGCTTGCAGCCCAGAAGGCCAACTGTGTTCTGGGCTGCATTAAAAAAGGGGTGGCCAGCAGGGAGAGGGAGGTCATCCTCCCTCTCCACTCGGCGCTTGTGAGGCTCCATCTGGAGTACTGTGTCCAAGCTGGGGTCCCCAGTAAAAGAAAGACACAACTCTTGGAACGAGTCCAGAGGAGGGCCACTAAGATCAGAGGGCTGGAGCACCTGTGGAGAAAGGTTGAGGGCACTGGGCTTGTTTAGCTTGGAGAAGAGAAGACTTTGGGGAGACCTCATTGTGACTTTCCAATACTTGAAGGGAGCATATAAACAGGGGGGATGGCTGTTTATCAGGGTGGATAGTGATAGGACAAGGAGGAGTGGTTTTAAATTGTGATAGGGGCGATATAGGTTAGATATTAGGCGGAAGTTTTTCCACACAGATGGTGGTGACACACTGGAACAGGTTGCCCAAGGAGGTTGTGGATGCCCCATCCCTGGAGGCATTCAAGGCCAGGCTGGATGTGGCTCTGGGCAGCCTGGTCTGGTGGTTGGTGACCCTGCGCGTAGCAGGGGAGTTGAAACTAGATTATCATTGTGTTCCTTTTCAACCCAGGCCATTCTGTAGTTTTATTTATATCAGGATAGGGGAATACTTTTCCTCTCACTTAGCACATGTGGGGCTTCCGCCCAAGACCCTCAGGAAGGGATCAGTGCTCACCTCACTTGCCTTGGAGCCCCACAGAATTGTGTGGTTGGTGTGCTGATAGCATGGTTTTGTAACTAAAGCACTGACTTGCATCCTGATAGTACTGCAGTACTATGTGCTATAAATGAAATGGAACAAGACTGAAGTTTTCTATAAAATTCCTTATTAACAAAGTTAAATTGTTCCAGTGACGTAGCGGAATAACTTGCCACTCTTCAGAAAACAGCTGTTGAAATGAGTGGTCTCAGGTAAATGAATTTGTGGTTTTTGAAAGGACAAAGACGGTTTAATTACGTAGATCCACAGAGGTGTTTTGCTGACATGGAACATCACAGCTTTGTACTGACGTTTGTGAATCCCCAAAACTGGAGCTGTTGTTCAGCTGACAGGATCAGGTAAAAATCTTAATGTATTTCTATTGCCCATACACTTTATTTGTTGCCTCCAAGAGGCAGTACAGGCCCTAAAGCTTAGCTACCTTACTCAAACATTTTGGTTGTTATTTTGAAGATGATTGTATGACAGTGATGGAAACTTCATCACTTGTTTGTTCCAGACATCATTTCCCAACCTCAGTTCCAGAGATGCATTTTTGTTGTTTTGTTTTGTTGTTTTTTTTTTTAAGTTGCAGATGCTATCATCTAATTGGAAACTTCAACACCACAGCCCTTGCTGCTTGTTTGCCTAAAGGTGTACTTTTTTGCAGTCCTGACATTCAAATAGTCTTGTCATGGAGATTTAAACTTAACACTTCATTCTGAATTAGCCATTTGAGCCAACTTATTGCATTTGCAGTAGAATGAGTGGTGGGAAATTCCTTTTGTGTGATAAAATTAGTAAGCTTGTCTCTGATTTCAGTTCTTCCTATGTGCTCGTTACCCCAGATTTAGTATTTGTCTTAGCCAGCAAATATCTTCTTGACACAGTCTTATGAGAAGACTTTCTCTGGAAGTAAGGTGAATCTACACTGTGGATTTTCTTAAATTGTTAGTGGTGGTTTCTTTATAAAGTGAAACAAAACCTGTGCAGTGGAGGAGTTAGTTTATTACTAAAGCTGATTCAATGGTTGGAAAATCAGCATTGTGGGGTAGTCTGAGTAGCTTCATTTATGAATAGCTATGGTTTTGACATGAGTTTCTGAAGAGTATTTTTTTAGGTCTGTCTTGAATTTGTTCCACAGACGACAATCTGGCCCTCGTTTTGCAAAGAGTCAATTTACAGTTCATCTTTCTAATCATAGACATTTAAAAGTGATTAGTGGACCCTAAGGTATTCAGTGTACTTTTTTTTTGGCAGCAATTCTTTGCCTTCCTTTTACCTTCTGTCACTTGCAGGATTTCTTATGCATAAACTTTTTTTCATGCAAGAAAGACTATAGAGAAGTCATTATTAGGACAAATGTCTAGCATACCAATTTAGTGTTTAGTTTCATTTATTTTTTTTCTTCCACTTGTTTCAGATTACTTCTCCAAGCCAAGTGAATATCTGTCTTGTGATGTAGCAGATCTGTAGGCTAATGGGACTTAGATGAATTAACAGGTTGCAACTTTGGCATCAGTAACACTGGTTGTTTTTAGGCAGCTCTTGCATGTAAGAACCTACTGTGTTTTGGAGCCAAGAAAGGTAACAGCACAGTGTAGGCATATGGAGAAAGAGAGTGAGGTGACAAGAAATCACTGAATAGTGCAGGACCATACAAGACAAGCTTCCTCATTTTGAAGCTATTGTGAATGGTATAAACCAGCATCTTCACTGTATCCTCAGAGAAATATGAAAAGGGATCATTGAAGTATGTGGAGGAGGTAGTTACTCAGAGGTCCAGCGCATGCAATAGAGGCCTTGGCAAAAGGCTGAAGAAATGGTGGATGATAGAGTTAGAACATATCAAATGCAGTATAGAGGCCTTGCTTTGGGTTTCCTCCCTAACTCCTTACCCACAGCTTTCTGGACAGGCTGAGAAGAAGCCCTAATTACTCTTACAACAGTGGCCCCCACGTAAAGAGTGTTCAGTTGTAGAGCAGGAAGGCATGTGACACTAGGAGTACAGCAGTTACAGTGAGGGCTGTGGTGTGGAGCTGCCCATGAGCATTGTGTCAGGTATAGACTTTTGTTTACTGCAAATAGCTTCTCAGATTCATATCTCTGGTTTGAGTGAACCTAGAAAGAGGTTTTTAAGATGAGTAAAACTTCGGTCTCTTTATTGATGACCTAGATGAGGACATTGAGTGCACCCTCAGTAAGTTTGTGGATGACGCCAAGTTGGCTGGAAGTGTGGATCTGCCTGGGGGTAACAAGGCCTTACAGAGGGATCTGGGCAGGCTGGAGAGCTGGGCTGAAGCCAATGGGATGAGGTTCAACAAGGCCAAATGCTGGGTCCTGCGCTTGGGCCACAACAACCCCAGGCAACGCTACAGGCTTGAGGCAAAGTGGCTGGAGGACTGCGTAGAGGAAATGGACCTGGGGGTATTGATTGATGCTCAGCTGAACTTGAGCCAGCAGTGTGCCCAGGTGGCCAAAAAGGCCAATGGCATCCTGACTTGCATTAGAAATAGTGCAACCAGCAGAAGCAGGGAAGTTATTGTCCCTCTGTACTCAACACTGGTGAGGCCACATCTCAAGTGCTGTGTTCAGTTTTGGGCCCCTCACTACAACAGACATTGAGGTGCTGGAGCGTGTCCTGAGAAGGGCGACAAAGCTGGTGAGGGGTCTGGAGCACAGGGCTTATGAGGAGCTGGGATTGTTTAGTCTGGAGAAGAGGAGGCTCAGGGGAGACCTTCTCACTTTCTATAACTATGTGAAGGGAGGTTGTAGTGAGGTGGGGGTCTGCCTCTTCTTTCATGTAACTAGTGGTAGGATGAGAGGGAATGACCTCAAGTTGTGCCAGGGGAGATTCAGGCTGGATGTTAGGAAATACTAATTCTCCAGAAGAGTCAGGCACTGGAATGGGCTGCTCAGGAAGGTGGTGGAGTCACTGACCCTGGAGGTGGTTCAAGGAACATTTGGATGTTGTGATGAGGGATATGGTTTCGTGAGAGCTACTGGTGATTGGTGGATGGTTGGACTGGGTGATCTTGTGGGTCTTTCCCAACCTTGGTGATTCTGTGATTTTATGATTCTATGGATTCTGGCAGAAGGGAGATGATCAGATTAAAAAGTGGTGCTGTACCTGTGCCTTTTTGCTATTGATGTCACATCAGTTGCAAAATATGTATTAAAAAAAAATTACAATCTCCAAAGCCATTCCACTAAAAATACAAACAATGTAGAAGGAAGATATTTCAGCTCCTTCTGGATGTTGATGTTTCTGATGCTAGCATTACATCTAAGAAGGGCAGTCTCGTATATCTAGATTTTGGCAAGTCTTAGGAAACTTCAAAATCTCTTCATTGTTTTCTTTGTAGGAATCTCTGACAGACTCTGTTCATTGTATTTTTTTTTTTTTTCCTGTCGGTAGTATAAGGACATGTCAGTGCTGTCCTAATTTTCAATGCAGATTTACTGTGCTAAGCCTGCCCTTCCTGTTCCCTTCCTTAGATTCCCCATCTCATTCCCAAAAAACAAGTTTCCTTAAGCCTTTTGAAGGCTGTAGGAATTAATTTGGGTGGCCGTTTATCTAATGAGAACTGTCTCATCTCTGAGATGTAGCATGAACTCCTCTAAAAACAAAGGAAAGTACACATCAGCAATCCCTACAAAATACTGCTAAAGTAAAGACAGCTTGTGCTGTTCATGCAGCAAAACCTGATCTTCTGATCTTTAATATGAATATTCTTAAGAGTTTTGTGCTTATCTGTCGTGTAAAAGTAAGAAAATGTAATCACTGGAGTCTTTGATTGAAATTTGTGTAATTAGTTGCAGCCATCATACCTACCAGTCTGTGTAGGTAGGAATGGCTGTAATATCTGGTCTGTCTGGGAATTGTTTATGCTGGCTCATTAGATTTTTCTCTTCAGAACGCAAACCTTCACTGCAGCGTTCTCGCGTTTGGTTTTTGCTCTGTTCCTGAAGCAAAGTTAGTATTTGTCATGGCTGTGCTATTGCACTGTGCCTTACAGTAAATTTAGGGGGAATGTGTTCTTGGTGGTAGAAGTTGTTCTTCTCAGTTACTGCAATTCACAAATCATGTTAGCAAGATCCTAGTATTCCAGCAGCAGTAAGTATTTCTATTGATATAACCTGGCCTGTCAGTTGGCCTGGAGAATATCTTTGTCTGACCTTGTTTATTTGTCTAGTAATTGTTATTTTTCATCTCTCAGATCCTTTAATCCACATCTGCAGCTATTCTGTAGGAAGTTACCTTAGACAAAGAGTACCTTCAGCGTTAGGAGAATGTTTGAAACATATTCTTCTTGTTTGCAGAAACGGTGGAAGGAGCTCTCTAAGGAGGACCAGGCGCCAAGTAGTGAGCAGTCTCCTCCACACCCAGCCAAAATAACCACCGAGAAGTACAATGGGAACAGCGTTGGCCTGGAGAGTAAAGATCAAGTGGATAAAATAAGTACTGGCCTGTCCACTAAAGTTCAAGATGGCACAGATGGAAATGTTGAAATGTAGGTAAAATGAAGAAACTGTTTAGAAGACAGAGGTGCTTTTTGAGAGGCTGAGTTACTGTGAGTTTCTGATAATAAACCTTGAAGATCTTTCTTTAGCAGAGGGAAAGGACAGGTGGCATTTGAGTCTTATTTTTTTTTTTAAATTCAGATATTTGTTTTGATAAATCTTCATTGTGTAAAGGTATGGTTTTTTTTCTCTTGACCTACTTCAGCTTTAGATGTCTCTAAACCTCAAGCTTGCAATCATTTTCCTGTAATCTATCTGTGAATTAGGTCTTAAAAATGTAGTACAATGTGAATTAGGTCCTAAAAATACCCAACATAATTCAATACACATTCTGAATTCTTTAACAACTTTGGTAAAACACACAGTACTTTAGAAGCACAAAGATTTTTATCACCTGCCATTTCCAATTTGGTGGTTGAAATTGCATGATGAAAGCCACATGTTGCCTTCCATTTGTGTTACATGTTCACAGATTTCTGTGGTTTAGCTATGGTATATAAATTTGTCTTTCTGTATCAAGTTAATATTCGTTGTGAGTACAAACGCCTGAGCTCCTAGATGTACTTGAGTTGAGGTTGCTGTGTGCTGCTGTACTGGGAATTGAGTTGCTTTGGGCACTGTGTCCCTGGGGTCTGCCCATATTTCTATGGGGCAAGAGACCAAGGCTGGATTGTGCAGAGCTGCGTGAGCCCTGTAGCAAGGGCAGACGTTACATACTGCTCTCATCTCATACCTTATGCTGCACATACCTGCAGCCTCCATGTGGAACATCTCAGATAGCATGAGAGCAAGAGGCAAATAATTCAGCTAACTCTATTCCCTGTTGAATGCTTACACCAAGGGCTATTTACATCTTTGCGTACGTCATTTGCTAACTTTATGGGGCTTCACTTACCTGAAACTACTTATGTGAAGATCGTTGGAACAGAATATACAATTGAAGAGTTACCTTTTCCTTATTTTCCTTTTTTCTTTAAGTGCTGCCCGGAAACGACTGCGAGACGATAGGAAAGCAAACACAGCACAGAAGCTCCAGCAGATGAAGCAGAAGCTAAATGAGACTGAAAGAAAAAGAAAAAGGTGGTTATATTGGAAACCTATTCTTGCTAAGATTGGGTTTGGTACACTGATTTTAGTTGGCGCTTATTCTTGCTGGAAAATATATTTTCAAGAACATTCCTTGTAAGTAACAGTAAGCTTGTCTGCTCCAGCAGCTGATCTTGCTGTGAGTTAATGACCAGGGGTGTGACTCTAAGCAGTAAACTCCTTTCACCTGGAATGGGTACAGGCCATTACATACAATAGAGGAGTGATGTAAACTTGATAATCTGTCAACATCTCAGGACTTTCCACTGCAGGTATTTAAATGAACTGCTACCCCCCAACAGAGTTGTTATTTTTTGTTTATATAAGCAGGTACAAAGCTGCAACTTTCCAAAATGGTCTACTGGATCTAGAGCAAACCCTGAACCACAGAGTTGTAGCTACTGAAGGCTGTTTGGATTTAAATTTACATGCCTGACATAAGCAATAAACAGTGTTGTACCATCACGTTATTAATACCAAGAAGTTATCCTTAAATGTGTGTAATGTGTGATGTACCGGTGACATGAGCATAAACATTTTATATTCTTATGACCTAGGATAAATATATTTTATAATTGCATATTTAATCTTTTTGTAGTTCACTGTACTTTTAAAAGCTCAGTTTGTACAAATTTCTGACCAAAAAAGAATTTGATTTAGAAATTACGTGTAATTTGTGCATGAAAATAATAGTGCAACCATGCCCCGTATTTTGACTCTCAGATTTATGATGTGAGCAGCTAGGGGTCTGATGAAGCACTTACGATTTCTACTCTGTTACTTTGCATTCCTTATTTATTTTTTGTAGTTTTTGTTATTTAAGTAAGGCTTGGGAATTTGAATTTTTTAAGGCTTTGGAGAACATAGCCCCCACTGAAAAGTATACTGTTCAACTGATTGATGTATTCAGACTTCAGCTACTGTTTGAAGGCCAACTTTGTTAAAGTTCTGACATTCCATTAAATGTGAAACATAATGTTCTGTGTGTCTATAGATTAATTGCTATAAAGAATAAAGTCCATTTATCAGTAATATACGTAGAAAGCACCTCAAAGAAAACTACGTTGTCTTCCAAGTGTGGTTTTGATAGAAAACAAATGCTGGTAGTATTCCCTGTAGCCAGTATTCTCGGTTATTAGCCACTTTCAGAAGTTCACAAAGTGTAGAATTACTCTTCAAGTTACCTGTTGCTGTATTTCAGAGGCGTGAAAGTAAAACCCTCAGTGATGGGATATTTTGGGAATACCTATCCTGTGGGCACTTGAATATTGAGTAGTCTCTTTCCATTACTTGGGCACTAGCAACACTTGCTAAACAGTAACCGAACACAGATCACTTGCTGTCCTTTCAGTTCTCTTGAGGCACAGAGCTTATATGTGGTGTATTAAGTTGAAACTTATTATTTTGTAGCATTGGACTGCACTTTGAAAGCTGGATTTATTTATTCAAGTATTGACTTGTTGGATGACTTCAGAGAAGTTGTGTTGACTTTCTCCACTGTCCTAGCTGGATTGTTTTCTGCTTGGGTGCGTCCTCTCGGGATTCCTTATTGAGGTTTTGTTGTTGTTCAGTCATAAAGCACTCTTTGGACTGATTGCTGAAAAATACTGAGAGAGCGAGACGATTTGCTCTCCTTCCAGAGGAACTGACAGGTTTCCAGCACGTTTGATCTCAGCAGTAACTTGCCAGGCGTGGGGCCAAAACAGGCTGACATAAATACACAAGGCTGACTTGTGCGTTCTCTTTGAAACTCATTTCACAATAGTTAATGTTATTATTTTGAACTGCACTGTTTATATAGTAAACAAATGCTAAAGTGTCCAGATAAGGAAGAGAAAACAAGTGTAGTTCCTTGGAACACGCAGTTCTGTACTTGGGAAATGGTGTGTCAGTAGAACGAAGATAATTTGTCCTGTGGCATTGCTGACCTGCTGTACAGCTCTAATAGCAGAGCAGCATGGCAGTGGCCGTGACACAGTATGGGCAGGCAGCTTATGCATTTTAAGGCCTTCATAATTTTGACAACTGCAATAAGTTAGCCAACAAGTTGGATGGAAGATTCTTTTCTTTTTCCTTTAATTGGGAAGACTGAGGATTTTTGAAGTATCAGCTGTAACTGATACACCGTGTAAATTTTCGTGCCTTATAAAATATATCTTGGCTTTAGAAAACCACGTTGAATGTAATTAAATGCTTTTATAATGAAGAAATATTCCAGACTTAATTCAAAATACCTAAAAGCAGCTAGGGAAAAAGTGCAGGCGAAAGCTTCAGTGAAAACACTCATTTACCACCTTTTGTGTTTGTTTTAGATGAGGTTTTTTCTGGTCTGCCGGCATCCTCCAGATGCTGAACTCTACTTGGGTCTTGGCAGGTTCTCACTTCAAATTTTCCCCAACTCCAGCTTCTCTGTTTTGGCTTTTTGTTGTGTAGCTGCTGAGGAGGCCCTCTTTGTTGGGAGGGGGCTGTGGGGCAGGGCAGCAGGGAGCCATTTTCTGTCATCTCACATTACCTTCTCATGCAGTAGAGTAAAAGGAGCATCTTCTAGTGGCGATGGGTGAAATCTTGTTTGGTTACATTCTTGTAAGTATCTTCAAGATCTGAGCTTCCTTAAATTGAGTTTTGAACCAGTACAAGTCTTGGACAAAACAATTTGAACAGTGAGTTTTTCTGTGAGAATGTGGGAATGGGAGGGACGTGAGTATTAGATCTCTTAGAACGTCCCAGGTGTCAGATTGGATAAAACTTCTTTCTGGTCCCTCAGCGTCAGATTTGGGATTGGGACAAAACGCTTCAACAGAACTTGTGGAGGCTTGCAGTGTTTGACTGCAAACTGAGCCTTGTGGTATTTTGTTCTTCTGTAGGATGACAATTTAGAGCAGTTGTGTACAAGTTGGATGTTACATAAGAATAAATGTGGGTTGGAATGAAGGCTTGTCAATCCCAGGGACGTTTGTTTTAGGAAACGCTTAAAGAAAGAATGAAAATGAAGGAAATGCCTTCTGCCACCCCACTCCCCCAATTGCTGGCATTTCTGTTGGCTGTTTCCACGGCACTTCCAAAGTGCTTTTGCGCTTTGAAGTGTTACTGTGTTGGGCTTTTCCCTGGTTTGGAAATATGTTGGTCAAAATGCTTGAGGTGTAGTGGATGTCAGAATTTGATCAAACAGTGTTTGACTCTCAGATGAAAGCTTTATACAAATTGTGTGTTTTCTTGAAAATACCACTAAGAAATGTTTGGACCTCAGTTGCAAGTGGTTTGGAATTAGTCCTCTGTTTGATTATATTCTTCATGCAGGGGCAGTCCACTTAGTGTCACAGTACAGCTGTATTTCTCTTGAAATGTATTAAGGAAACTGAATTCATTGTGGAACAGAATTCTGGAAAAATCAGTTATTTATTTTATGTAAATAAGATACTGGAAGTGAAACCCAGATAATTTGTTAGGTCTTGACTGAACTGGTTTACTTGCATCAATTGATATTCCACTGAGTAGCGAAGAAGTATAAATGTATACACATGTGCATGTGTTGGATCGTGTTGGCCATGAGCAGCCTGGTGAGCTTTAAGTTCAATGAATGTTAACTCAATTATTTAGCTTGCTGCTGGCGTTATGCTTTAACCTGACACACTTGATGACTGCACAAGAGACTTAATTAAGTGACAAAAGAGGAAGCCTTCTGAATGGCCAAGTGGCTTAAGTCATAGAATGGAGTTTGCAAAGTTGCCATAACACACAGTAGTCTTCCTGGGTTCTTTAACCCTGACACCCCAAAGGTTTAGGTCAGTCTTTCATTTTTATGTATGAAAAATAAAACGTGTTCAAAATTGCACTTCTGTCTGAGTCGTTATTTAAATTGGATAAGCACTCGGGATAACTTTTGGTATTCTGATTGAACAGAACCCTGCTGTGTGCATCAGCACAGTGCTTGCAGAACGTAGAAGCATTTTGCTTGTAGCACACTGGCTATTTAGTACTGCGGGCTGTGTGTGTTCCTTGGAGCGTAGCCTTGTTCCTAAGAGCAACACAGCTCGTTACTGAGGAAGATGTTCCAACAAGCAGACTTTGCCTAAGAACTTCCGTGCCTCTCTCTGTGCCGGGATTGGCCGTTAGAGCCACAGAGGTGGCGAGTCTGCTGAGCTGCAGCCTTCTGTAGTCCCACTCAGGTCAAAGAAGACTTCTGCAGCACTTGTGGCTTAGTGCGTGTGTCAGTGGCTCACTGAGCTGGCCTGTACTTGGAGCTCTGCAGTGCCTTACACGGTGATGTGGGAATAGCTTCCCAAGAGTGCTTGCTGCAGACAAACAGTGATCAGTAGTCACTTCGGTGCATGCGTGAGCAGCTGTTTGTGTTCTGTAGTGAGTTGCCAACCCGTTGTCTGTTCTGATTTCTCTGTCCTTGCACTGTGTACTGAATCGGTGACTTTCTTTTGCGTTGTATGTCGTAGGCCGAGACTGACTGACACCTAAGCCTCCAAGACTTGTGAATATTCTGCAGCTATAAACTGCAAATTATTGACATGCAAAGCGAGACATGAACCCCTCTTCGGGAACAAAAGTGAGGTCTGTTAAGTACCCGGAGGACCTCAGTTATCTGTTTACAGCGTAAACTGCATCCAGGGGACGAAGAACACCACCAGCATGCTACTTTGCAAAACAAAATGACTTGCTGTCTTGTGTTTTTATAATGCCTGTATTAATGTAGAAAGATGTAAAAGAAATAAATTAGGAAATATTTTGTTTTGTACTGCCACTCTTATTGTATTTTTATACGATTTTGGCAGCATTAAATATTTTTTTAAATTGACAACGTGCTGTTGTGTGCAAATTATGCTAGGAAGCAACTGTTAAAAGCTTACTTGGAACTAGAAGAAATGTTTCACCTCGTGGTGTTTCCTGATACCCTGTCTTAACTGGAACATTGCTACATATTCTTGCTAGAATGGGCTTTATGCAAATACTTCAATGAATGCTCAGTATTGTAGTCTCAGCTGGGAGTAACTCTTGCACATTTCTTTTGTAATACACCACTAGGAACGTTATTAACCTGCCGGGTTGATTTGGTAATCCTTATGTTTGCTACCAAATATACACAGAATGTTCGGAGTAACTTTGGGAATGTGTTCTGTTGTTCTGCCTTCAGGGAAGGGGGAGTCTCACTGCCCACCCCTTCCTGCAATGAACGGGCTGAGGGCCAGGTGCCCAGGTGGAACCTTTCATTAAAAGGTTTTGTATTGTGCCATCACTGTGTGTTACGTGTAGTATTTCACTTCACATCTCTGATTTATCAGTGCTCTGAGCAGCTGGAGTGAGAAGGGCTGAACTGGAACAGCCCGAAGCTGGTTTAATGGACTCAGCCCTGTGCCTTCTGCTATGGGAGCTAAGCTCAATTCTGTGCTTGTGGGAGTTCTGGCAGTTTCAGATAAACCTTCATTCACTGAAAAGCTGTATTTTATGTACATCTAAACTACTGTGTGGTGGGAGGTTTTATATGTGATTTGCACTTCAAGTACTTCTGCAACAGGATTTCTGTATAAACCCTTAAGTCCCTGAAGGCAGGGAGAAGAAAACTACTTGGAAGGCACAGGAATATGGGATAGTATTTCTGCTAGAATACACAGCCTGAAATCCTAACTTGGGTTTGAGGCTGACTGATGGAAGAGTTGTGCTTAAGTACAATGTGTAACTGAACAGGGGAGTACTTGAAGCAGTTATTTAAGTGAAGTGCTCAGCACCACCTTGAAATTGTCTCAGTCACAAGCACTGGGTTTGTCACAGTTAAGTTCAGCTTCATTTTGAAGTTGATGTGGCTGTGCCTACTTCTGGTGAAGGACAGAGGTCTGGCTGCTGCAAACCTCATTGCTGCAGAATGCAGGAGTGGAGCCTGCTTGTAGCACTCTCTGCATCTTGGATACAGCTCTCAGCAGTTTGTGCCTTCTAACTTGAGATTTACATTTTCATTGTTTTCCTCCTCTCTGAACTGTGATTTGTGTGATACGTTTGGTGATGGGCAGCACGTGCTGTATAATACAGCACATTGCTGTATTTCACCTGCTGCTAAATCGTGTCCAATATGCAATAACTTGTACTTCGTGATGTGCCCTGAGCGTACTTTGGCCCTCGTCCCATGGTGACTCAATTCTCAAACTGTTCTTCAGGGCTTTAACAGCTGCTCTCTCAGCTGAGTGGGTCACAGGGCTGCCTCACCAAGCACAGGGGACTGAGAGCAGTTCCCAAACAGATGAGCTGTACTGTGACAGCGGCAGTGTGAAGACACAGGCTCAGGAAGTCCCAGCACGTGCCTCACTTCTCCGTGCAGGGCTCTCAAGTTCTGCTGTGAAACATGAAGGCAAAAAGAGGATGGGCTGCTTCTTGAGACAAAGGTGAAATTTGCAAAGGGTTTGCAGTTGGAGGCTTAAATTGGCTGCTGGACCCACGCTCAGCAGGCACACTGAGGCTTTTTAATTACCATTTCCCCTTGCTTAAAAGCAAAACAATTACGGCTTGGAATATGAGCTATCAAAGCTGTTAACTGATGGACAGAGCTCTGCAGTACACCGCCTGCTGAAATGCTGCATCCCAGGTACCACTCAGCATACATCATGCTGCATCTTGAGTACTGCAACTACTTGATACCATCATTCCCTGTTTGCTGAGCTTTCTGTAGATACCCAAGCACCACTTGCTTGTCACCTTAATTAGGCTTATCCTTTTAAAAACAGAAGCTGGCCTGAGTATTTCAAGGGTTGTTTTTAGCACTTTGTATGGTTTCCATCTACATAATAGATTCAGGGCCTCAAACAAATCTGATGCCAGCCTCCAGCAGCTCCAGGGAGCCTCTTGAGGGGCTGCTATCTGCACGGAGCAAGTTCCTCAAACACCAGAGCTTTCCACAGATGAACTCCCAGTGTGCAACACATGGACTGCCCCCTGGCTGGAGTGCTACGTGTCAGACAGAAGCCCAGGCTGTGGGGAGCAGAGACATTTCCAAAGTTTGCTGTAGTGTGGCTGAAGCTCACAGATGCTGGAATGATGGTACTTCAGAATTGGGCCAAAATGAAGTTGTTAATTTGATCCTACAGGAAAGAAACAATTAAACAGCTCCAACTAAATAAAGCTTATACAGTCCTCTTATCTAAAAAATAACAACTAAGGAAACCAGAAAATTCTGAAAGCTTGTGCTTGTTGTTCTTTTCCCATACCAGTATTTAATGATGGTTGGAAAAGTCTCATTAAGCATGTCCAGTGCATCTATACTCTGTACTCCCACAAGCTGTACTCATCACATGAGCATAAGAGCAGTAGGCAAAGAGCTCTCTGAGAGGTGCTGCTGCATATCCTGCAAGTTCAGCAATAGAGTATTTAGGACATCAATCCTTTTCTAACTATGCAAGAGTTGAACAGTGTTTGCAGGTATGAAATATTTCTGTGATGAGTTCTATGTAAAGACTGCAAAATGGTTTGTACTTTCATTCAGGTTTCTTGTAAAACAATGACAAGACCACGAGCCAAAAGATATAAAAGGATCAAAACCAAATATGTAGCTTAGTAATGCAACAAGTCCCACTGCAAACATGAAACAGTGAACAAAACTGGTATTTCAGACTACACCTATAACATACAGGCTCCAGACTGCTTGCTTTCAGGACAGCATTTTACTTTCTTTATATTTCAGGGCACTGTATATATTCTCAAAGCAGTCTAAGAAAGCTTGTTGACTTCACAACCTTTTGTTCTGCTGCTTCTGCAGTCCCTGGAAGAAGACTGGAAACTGTTATCAGGAACATCAGAAAACACAGCACATGCTACTCTGCCACTCGCGGCCTCCCCAGCTGAAGCTACTGAGGTAACATTGGGAAAAGAAGGCAGAGGATCACTGAGAGGATCTGAGCTATACTGACACCAGCAGGAAGGTTTTGGAAGAGAGATCCACAATTGACTTAAAAGAGTGGGCCTTTATCTTTCTAGAACATTTAAAAAACTGCACGTCAATCAAGTGCTAAGAGAGACACTGTGAGCTTTCCCACTGCAGTAGTACTTTAACCAGACAAAAAGGGCTTTGAAAATATTTTATTTAAAAAGAAAAAAAAAATCTTCAATAAACAACTATGTCAAACCCATTTCTTTGTTCAACTTCTGAAAGTTACTGTTATTTCAATAGTTAGCAGGGGTAAAAGAAGTTTTCCCTAAGAATGTATTTACATCACAAATCAGGCTGCTGTCGCTTGGCAATTAGTATACAATCATCTTCTCATGGGATGATGGACACCATACCAGTGTGACTTACAGAAGAAATCCAAACAGCTCAGAAGAGTGCAGGTGGAAGACCACTGCCAAAAAGCAGGCGCCAAGAACTTGGTATTTTCCATTCTGAAGAAGGATCTGGTATTTCCCTCTCTGGAGAAGCATCCGTGGAAGAATTTCTCTGCAACAAGGACAGAGTAACTCCTTGAAGTTTTAAAGAATAATGCGATTTAATGCAATTTTCTCTCTGGCATGTGTGTTAAAATCATGGCCTTTCAAGGGTCAGTGTCATGGTGGACAGCTCTAGAGAAAAATATTGCAAGTTCTAAGCGGATGAAATCTTTACAGTTTCCACCACCTCTGTCCAAGGTTTGTTTTTTTGGGTGGGAAACTTCCCAGCACAATTTTAATCAAAACATATCTTACATTTGGCCTGCTCTTGGTGACCGCAGGCCAAAGTGAAGTCAGCCAATACAGAAAATGAAAATAGCTGATATAAAATATGAAAGCTCTAAAACAAACAGCACTTACTCTGATTTCAATTAGCTGAAGCCATTCATTCAGATAGTTAACAAGCCCAAAGGCGTCAGG